TGAGAGGAGGGATAAGGACGGAATAAGAGAGAGGAATGGCGCGATGATAGACGGCCGGCAAAGACAAACGAGAGATGGGTGGCGCGTTATCGGATAATTTTCGTGGATTCCTGCGGTAAACTGGCGAGATGATGGATCGACTTGCAGAGTGGTGGAAGATCGGTAATGTGTGAAATTTTTGAAAGGCATGCTAAGCGCGATCTCGCGCTCGACCGTGCGTGCACCACGTTAGGTACACACGTTGCTCCAACAATTTATGATCTTCCATCCCCTTCTCTCTCTCTCTATGCATATTCCTTTACCTCCCTGCATAATTCGATTCTTCGAATTTTCTTGCTTCTTCTACTCCCCGTGTAACAGATCTTTTTCTTTTTTTTCTTCTTATTACAATAGATTGATGTTTAATCGACCAGTAGACTGTTTATACGTTTATAAAATAATAACAAAAGGTGGTACACGATTGTATTCGAGATAAATAAGTTTAAGTTAAGCTTTAATCAAGTGGAATTAATTTAAGTGAATGTTTGTTAAAATTTGAATCGAATAATTAGAATCGATATATATTTAATTAATTAAATTATAGTATATTAAAATTTAAATAGTAAACGCTGTGAATTTGTTATTTATTGAAAATTATTTGTTCTCGATAATTCTTCACTTCTCCCTCTTACGTTTACCTTCAATTGAATTTTGATCTCAATATTTACGCAATTACGCAACTCCGCCAATCTTTCGCTTAAACCCTTTCTCGCTCATCCTCCCCCCCTCTCTCTTACCAGCGAATCTATCCCATCTTCCGTGGGATAGCGGCAACTCTCGAAATCGCGTCAGCATTTAGCCAGCAGTATATTAGGCGAAATACAAGCGGGTATCCTCTCACGGGCCATTACTGTTACCTTTGATCATCGCATGACCGGAGAGTGGTTAACGCTGCGTCATCAGAGCATGAATTTCTCTCTATCTGCCCGGTATAATTTACAATCCGTGCCGGGTTCCTCGCCCGCTGGAAACGTCCGAAACCTCCTCCTTCCACCTTGACTCCACGAAATCATCCCGTCCTTCCGTCGTTATCGGTATCGCGCTTTCATTTTTCAAACACTTCCTCTCTCTCTCTCTCTCTATCTCTCTGAAAAAGAATTCTCGAATTTATTCGCGAGTCGTAAAGTTGTGAATAATTATTAAGATTCGAAAAAAAGAAAGAGAAGGAAAATTATCGAGATCGTTCGTCCTAAAAGAATGGAGTAAAATATATCCGAAAAGAAAATTTGGAAAATCGAGGATATTATATTTTGCAGATCTTGCCTTCTTATTGCTACAACATGATTACACGAAAATTATCATTGATAAATTAATTCCATTGTTCCAACATCTTCGAACATCTTTTACTTGTAACGTTTCGTTAAGCTCGATCGTCCATTAACACATTTAATAAAAAAGAATCCTTTCTTCCAACTTGACGTCTAGTTGAAGAGATATATATTTTTTCCACGACTCTTCGAAAAGAAAAAAGGAAAAGAAAGAAAAAGAAAATCGGGGGGGTGCAACGCTGACTTATCGGAGCGCCAATGTCTCCAGATAGGAACAAGCGTTTTATAGGAGGCACGGTGTGTTTCGTGGCAGCCGCCTGTTGCATGCTGGCGTACACTGACGTCATTTCCACCACCGGCCGCTGCACGCCCGTAGTGGGGTTGAAACTGACTGAGTCAGGGGCGTTGATGGTAGTGGGGGGAGGGGAGGGGGGCGAAAAGGGGAATGTAACGCTCCGGAGGGCGTGCTTGACAAAGGCGTGGTTACCGTGTCCCCACCCAACAATAAACAACCAACTCTGACGTTAATTTGTTTGTTTTATCCCTCTCTGCCCGCTCTTTCCCTCCCCTGCTCGCGCTTCCCTTCCTTCTCGCGCTCTCTGCGCGCCGTGGCGCCCTGCCTTGTGCCTTTCACCTGTCCTCCTCCCCATCCTCCTCCTCCCCCTCCTCCTCCTCCTCCTCCTCCTCTCCACAGCGCTAAGCACCGCGCGCTGAGTAAAAATTTATCAAAACGCTCGTGAAATTGTGTTAACTCGACAGAGTTGCTGGAGGAGTTGCAGTTGGAGGAGAGGTTGTAATCGGTTGTAATTGGAACGTTTGAATGGAGGAAGCAGGTCAGCGGGGGAGGGGTGAATGGGAGAGGATCGATGGATTTTGAGGATTTTGGATTGGATTGGGCCAAGTGGTAAGGAGAATTGCGAGAATCGAGTATTTTAATTTCTAGCTTAATTGTGCTGGTACTTGGAATTAAGGGGATGGATCAAAAGATCGCTTTTTGAATAATTGGTAACCGAGTGGAAAGTTTTTTAAGCGAGTTAATAAAATTCATCCTTTCATATATTCTAGTAGGAAAGAAATACACGCATTTTCAGACCCGTGAAATTTTATTTTATTTACTTCAAGTGCTTGCCAAAAAGTTGTGAAGAATTATTAATCCGTCTATCGTTAAGAATTTTTTTTTCTTGCGTGGATACTTTTGGAATCTGGAAACTCAAGAAACTCGGTTAACATAGTTCAAGTTATGGAAGTTTTCAAATACTCTGGATATATCGTAAATTTGAAATTCTCTGGAAGAGTCATTTTTCGGAAAATGGACACTTGACGTCGAGAGCGAAAGTTACTTTTGAACAGTCACTTTTCACTTACTACAAAAATGTATTCTCCAAATGTTTTCCCCTCTTCGATACGTACTCGAAAAAGGAGAAAGAGAGAAATTAAAAACTTTAATATTTATTGTTGAATATGTTGAAAAGAGATTTGTTGAAGAAAAAAACACTTACATAATCTCTTATCAATTTTTCGATACTATATCGATACAATATATCAAGCATAGAAAATATTTTTGTCAATTTACGATTCATCAATGCGTAATTAACCTCGTTATCGAGATACGCACCTATACATATATTTGCACTCGATCACGGGAAAGTGGCGCACATTTGCAAATATTTTACCGAATAATAATTCATCGCGCATGGATAATCATTACATATACAAAATATTCGTTCTTCATTTAAAATCTAAATCTTGCGTTAACTCGAAACTTCTCTCTTATCTCTAAAAAAGAAAGAAAGGAAAAAAGCACGAGGTCAGAGGAAAAGGAAGGAAGGAAGGAAGGTGTGACTAATCCGCGTCCAACGTCGAAATATTATCCTACGGTGATGCAGATCCACCCTAGATATGAAATTCGTTAGAATCGATCTTAGCCGAGCGGCGGAGGGATGCTCGGAAACGGGGAACGACTTGACCTTGGCTGGATTCACGCGTAGCTGAGCTAACGCAAAATCGAAACGCGTTACTTCCACAGCGTGGATCTCCTAAAGCTGGCTTCACATCGTGACTTGCAGCCTCCTTACAGCCTCCGCCGGCCTACGCGAATATCGAAGGCAAGCCTCTTAAAAACTTAAAACTCGCACCCCACATTTTCTGCTGCTTTCCGATTTTTCTTTTTCGTTTCTTCCAAATTTTTTTCGGTTATAAATCGTCTGCGAGGTTTTGGATTTGTACTCGAAATGAGGACGGATTTCGATCGAGTATATATTTTTTATTGCAGGACAAAGGATAGGAGAGGAAAATAATTTTGGAATGGATTGAAAACAATTTTTTTATCTCTCGATGTTATACAATTTTATCGTGTGATATTGACTATTACTCGAGGAAAATATTTCAGAGATAAAAGTCACCTGGTTACACAGGTGTATTATTAAGGAAAGAATCTGAAGTCAAAAAGTTGAACGATTCTTATCTAAATTAAAAACCTTGCTTCAAACTCGTTTACGATCGATATTTAAAATTGGATAATTGCAAAAGATATATTTTTACATCTTAGAAATTATTTCTATTAAAAATTATATTACCAAGAAAAAAAATCACTCGCTTGAAGAAGAAAAAGAGAAGAGAAAAAAAAAGCCTCATCGATCTCGTCCTTCACGAGTCACTTGATTTTATTTGATCTAATTTGCGCGCAAGCGACGGAACAGTTGGTCATTGCTCCACTAATGATTCTGCTAAAATACACACAACGTAACGTAAAAGCTGCTTCTATCTCATTAAAAAAATAAAAATATTTTCTTACCAAAAACTCTATTAAATTGTAACAATTTTAATAAATTATCATTTGTCAATTTGTAAATACAAAATAAACAAATTTAAATTTCATTATAAATGTTTCTTTCAATTTTTTCTTCTCTTTTCTCTTTTCAATTACGTTTTTATTTTTATCCAATGCAAGATTAAATTGCTTAAAAAAAAGTCCTTAATAAAATAAAAAAAAAATCCTTAATAAATAAGTTTACCGTCAAATACAAACGGGGACAGTTTGTGTGGAAAACAGAGAAGAATCTTCGAGGCTTGCGTATTCGAGACGTCGAACAGAAGAAGAAGAATCCATTTCTAACGCTTTATACGCGAGGTGTTTCGTGTGAAACGAGCTTGTTTCTTAGCAAAAGGGAGGATCTAAACGCGCGCGCCACTGACAGGGGTTGATGCAGTTATTCCTTTCCCCACCGGGCCACCCCTCGTCGCGAAGCGGCTCGCGGGGTAGGCTGTGTGGGAGCTTGTGACAGAAGAAGAGAGGGTGACTCACCCCCTGCGTGCGCTGCGTACTTTCAAGTGCATAGCACCCACAACCGAGCCACGCGTGACTAGACACCGTTTTCAAGCAAAGGGGGCCACTGGAAATTAGATTTTAATACGTTCACGGTGCCTTCCTTTGCGGAACTCCAAGGTGAGATAATGAGACTGGTGTAAACGTGCTCGTGACGACGAATTTGAGACATTTGAGGGGAGATCGGGTTTCAAGATTATTATATTTATGTAACGAACGACGATAGAATAAATCAACCAAGAATTGGAATTGAATTGAATGCGATAATAATGATGATCGGCGGAAATGCGTTTGCTTATTAATCGATTAATATTCGAATTTGTATTTTAAGTTTCTTTCCTCCATTGCTTGTTTGTCTCTTTACTTAAGAATTAATAAGAATTTTAAAGAAGTGGGAAGGTGGAATTTCAGTAGTAAATCTACAAGAGAAATCGCATTCTGACTCTCGAATTCTGCGCTCCGAACGACCCATCTATTTCACAAATATCGAATAATCCAATCTCGATATATCGAAGCGAAATCCAACTTTCGAATCGTTGATTCTCTCGCAAAATAATGTATGTTCTCCGAGGAAAAAGACGAAGCCAAAGAGGCAAAGAGAAAGGTTTCAAGAGAAGCGAGCGAAAAAAGAAAAATGCGACGGAAAAAAGTAACGATCTCGGCCCATGAAAGTAATTCGAAGGTGGACACCGAGGCGTGCAAGCAGGCAGTCGGTCTCCATCTGGCGCGAACTTATCGCACGTACCCCTTTTCGCCGGGCTGCGTGATTCGGGGTTGAGCGCATGCGCTCCGCTACAACACGCGCCCTCCGATGAGCCTTCCGCACGGTTGAGCATTTCCACCATTCAGAATCGATGATGTCACGAAGCGGAGCCAGCATCCCCACCGTTCCATACAGAGGAGGGTGGTGGTGGCAACGTTGCCCTCCGCCCATTGGTCCAACGTACTCGACGTACCAACACGAATCGCCGGGTCGCGAGCACGACCCAACGAGAGTCCGCAAGTCGTTGCGTGCCAGTCCGTGCGTGTGCTTTACCTAATAATATTTCCACGGCCAGCAGTGCCCGCTAGTGCTCACCGCCGCTTCTCTCTCGTCTTTTCCCGGCTTCTTGGTCTCTCGCCCTTTCTCGTTCGCTCTTCCATCTCTCTCTCTCTCTTTCTCTCTTTCTCTCTCTCTCTCTGTCTCATTTTCTATCTGTCTGTCTTTCTCTCTCTCTCTCTCTCTATCTCTCGCTTTCGTTTTATCCCGCTCTGTCGCTACTGTCTTTGTCTCGCTCACGACCGTTCTATAACCCCCGTGTGTGGAGGTTCGCACGGGGGTCTCTTCACAGAGAGAGAGCCAAGAAAGCAGAAGAATCACGCTGCAGAGCAGCACGTGTGCTGCGCTCGTACGGATCGTACGAGCCACCCCCGTATATTACATATTTCTGCGTGCACGTTCAGAGATCCAGGTTCCAGGTTGGATTTTGGTCGCGAACGATCAATTCCTCGCGATAT